GGCCCGCGAAACGACGTCCTAGGACAGGACGTAAAAGAATAAATCCTGGGACTCAGTAAAAAAAACCCATATGCCTTAGAAAGGAAAATTTATCGTTTTATCGCCTACGGATTTTTCCATCCCCACCTTGGATGAAAACTCTCTGTTGCGAGGACCTTGGCATCCTATAAAAGGGGGAATGAGGAACAGCACGCTTCGATAGTCGGTCTTAGCCCATCATAGTTGATAGTATATAACAGTTTACAGTAGTTGTTGGTAAGTACATTTTTGATCCATCAGGAAGATAGACATAGCGTGTTTGTATCACTTCTGTGTCATGCTCATTCGAGCTCAACGCACGTCCGTTACGATCTAAAACGACGCACAATTAACGCCAAAATAAACATTGTTATAGCTCTACACCGGAGTAATTTGATATCACCCAACACGTCCTTACCACCTCAAATTGATGGCCCCGACGTGATCTGAGCGAAAGAGATGAAGGTGTTTGGGTCACATAGACGCCGTATCTGCATATTAAAAATCTACATCATTGGTAACGCTAACGAGGAAGTGCGTGCAACGAACGCCACTGACGGCGAAGACATAGTTAATCAAATCTTCCGCGTACCTCCACTAGAGCCGCAAAAAATATTGCTGTGGTTCGTCTAGTCGGAAGGTCAAGCGCTTGAACGCTTCTGATGCGCGCCAATTCGAACTGACCTTCCGACCGGGCAATGCGAAATTTAATACCCTCGCCGCGAACATCGGGTATCAATACGTAGATTTAGTCGGGAACATAGTAGTAAAACCGCGGGCGACAGGACGATATGAGAAGTTGAAAAGTGAAGTAATCAAAAAACTGGCCAATTCGCACAGCACGAGAGATGAGACACCGGAAATCGCCCCAGTTCTAGAAGGACTTGAAGAAACTGATCGCCCCGTCAATATCGAATGACCTCATCCTGATACTGTGGAAAAACCGTGGAACAGAGGTAATTGTACAAAGTGTTCGATTACGAAAATCGTAGAGAACCTTCACTAGGCGAAACACCTTTTCGACTCCAAACGCAGTATTGGGCCGAAATACCCAAAGCATATCGATGCGACGCCACGAAAAGAAAACCTAACGCAACAAGGCTGTACAAAGCTTATCATCAACACAGGTAATTTACCAAATAGACAAATTGTAAAGTATAAATTAAATAATAAAAAAAAACACAGGCAAAGCCGCCGCTCTGTTTGGCACAACCACGTGACGAAGAAGAACTTCGTGCGAATCTGGACGTCGCTAATTTAAAGCCCATAATGAAGTTGACACCCTGAACTATCAAGATTCATCCGTGAGCCTGAAAAAAGCGGACCTATACTATAGGACACTTTTGAGGATTTGAGGCATTGAAAAGATCGGAACGCCATCTACATCACGGCAAAGAAGGTGGGCAGTCAATTGTAGCGAGAATGACTTCGCCCACAAGGGTGCGTGTACCCATCGAGGAATGCAGGACAATGATTCGTTAAGGACGTGTGAATTCAGTTGTACACTTTGAACAAACAAAGTGTAGAGGTACACAGAACAAAACCTCGTGGAAACATATGCAGGAGCATAAAAGGACAAGATTGGAATTCGCACGAGATAGCATGTTTCAGCGTAAGAAATGGAAAAGGTCCATCTAGGCAAATTTAACTATCACTGATACGACATACGCGCAGATAGAATATCAATAGACACAATATCATAAATGGAAATTTCGATGGAAGAAGTTTGATATTATGAGTAGCATTTAGTTGTTTCTTAAAAACACCAATTTGTAACATTTCTACATGAATGCATTCGGAACAATACGCAGACTTATTAGAAGATTACTTCATTACATTTGTCAAAGAAACTCAGAAAGAAAAAGCCATTTATCGACACAACGCGACAATTCACACTTCAAAAAATGACAGTCCCGTGAATTTGACAAAAGCATTTACGATTTATCACCAGTAATGCACGATAAGCAATATTAGAAAGTGCTTGCTATGGGAAGGTGATCGGATAGGCAATAAGAACTGAATGGAGCAAAATCGAGACCAAAAGATTATAGAATTTAATTTATAGTATGGAAAATCGAATATTCAAAGTGATTAAACGTAATGGTAGAACTACATGTTCTTAATATTATAATTTCTACGTTTTTCGTGATAATTTAATATATTATTCCTCCACAAATTCCGCAACTATGTGGATGAAATTGACACCTTGCACTCTGAACTGCACAATGAACAAGCTGGGCAGTTAATTCCAACGAGTATGACTTCGCTCCTAAGGCACGTTTATCAGATAATGGAGATCTTCGTGCGGGAGCTGTGTACACCTAAAATCGCCTGGGAGCTAACCTCCTCTCCTCCAAGATAGATGAATCTGCCGATAATCAGCCATCCCCTGAATCAAGTCAACTGTGAGCATAGAAAGAAATACAGAACACACATGCAATATACATGCAAAATACACATGCAAAGAAATACAGAATCGCGGATGCCACGGAATAGCCGCACACCGTGGAAGTGTATGTGCAAATCGCCCACACTGATGTTAACCTTCATCTAGTGTCATCGAGTAATGTGTCACCACAATACAGTCACAGCAGGTATTCCACCTATCAAAATTGAAACAGCACGATCCTTCCTCGTTCGGACTGAACTCCTTTCTTACCGAGCACTTGATGTCCCGCTAATACGCTTCGAGCAGTGTCTCTCGTGTCAATATTCTCACAGAAATGACGTTCAATTTCTTATCTATTTTATGCCTAGGTATAGATCGTACGAAGGCTTGAAATGAGCTAGCTCTCTCTTCATGAGCTAGCAAGCAGAAAGGCATGGCGGAGAATCTACCGATTTTCTGACACATAATCTCACGCCATTGAGGCAGGAGTGACTATAAGCAAATGAAATGTAGAGGTGGACAGTTTTGCAGATGCGTTCCCATAGCCGCGGTAATGTATGTGCGAACGCCACGCCAATAGTTGCTTCAAATGTAATTACCAAACACGTGGAGTCTTCCAGTGGTGGGAAATATATGAAAGAAGTGTGCTATTGTGTTTATTGAGAATGCATCTCAAAAATGTACGAACTCATGTGAAAATGACGGAATATGGCTGAGAGTTGAGACGAATGTTACGTGTACATAGAGGTCTATACAGACTTATCCACACAACTCGGAACCCGCGCTGGTGAGAACATATGACCTACCATATACTACCACAATCAAACGTTGCTGGCCAACTATGAGCTGTTGCTAGAAATATAGAGCGAGGACATAAAGCA